GCAGACTGGCCTGTGGGCCAGCTGCAGCCAGGAGGCTGCAAACAGCTGCTCCGGGCTCCAGCATGTCGGCACTCTGGCACCTTCCAAGGTAGACATTGCGGGTTTTTTGGCACTCTGGCTAAAAAACGTTGCCTACCCCTGCCCTAGGGGGTACGCGTGGGCAGGCAGGGATGGAGTGCCACCACCAAAGCCATTCATCCCTAGGGGTGTGTGGGGCCCGGGGCATATCAGCCCAGCTGGACGTGAGGGGCAGGGGAAGCTCACACGTGGTGGCTGCTACTGCTCCACATTCGGCTGCACACCACTCCCCTTCCCCGCCCCGCTCTGTGTCCAGCTACTGGGGGTACACTGATCCAAAAGGGTTGAAAACCCCTGGTTTACTAGAAAGAAGATTCAGCCTGGAGGACAGCAGTCAGCAGGACCAAGAAGGCTTTACTTTCCAGCCAGACTCTAAAAGACATCTTTTAGTAGGGGCTGCTTGGAAAAAAGAGTTTGTTATATCTCCTCCCAGCCAGTTCTACCTACTTTGGAAAGTTGCAGCAATTGGCTCTGGATGATCCCTACGTCCTGTAAAAACGCCTTACAAAGCATGGGCAGCTCGCACCCTTATTCGCCTTTCTACACAGGCTTTAGGTTGCAGCAGTTTGTAGAATACAAAGGCCAGATTTGCTCAAAAGGTCAGAAAATAGTTGCAATCTGTAAGGAGTGACTAAGAATACCAGAGCTTTACACACCCTTACTACTTGTTGCTACCCTTACTCATATGGGAGAGTTACTCTTAGTAGTACCTTTGCTTTTGATGAGACTGCTCATAATATAAGGTACAAATCAAGTGAGTACAGGTAACAAAAGCTAGGTCAATGGGACAGAAGACAGACAGTATTGTGACATATTGACAATATTCTCTGGCGGACTGGAAGGCAGAACCAAGCGCTATAAAGAAGCACATGAAGCTCTTCATGAGAAACAGGAACATTACTCTAGGCCAGTAACGTTCCAAAAAGACTCAAGGCCTAGAGTAATTAAGAAAATGCTGGCTCTTAGCTTTTGACTGGAAAAATAACAGAGCAATTCTTCTGTTGCAAGGAACTCAGAAAAACCATAACAAGTAAAAATGTTTTGAACACTTTGAATTTCTATTTGAAATCTCTTGGTTTATCTTATGAGTCATGTTTACAAACCTAATTGTGCTAATATAGCATGGCACCCCGTAACACCCTTGAAGGGATATCACAGCACTCTTGCTGAGAATCACTGCTCAGCCTTCTAAGTGGCCTGCAGTTTTCAAGTGCCACAGCAGATGGAGCCAACTTACAATATGAACTCAATTCTGAGACTCGATGCACACAAAATGAATAGCTTCTAGTGTTTACAGTGGAATTAGAGAGCTGCCAATACCTCAAGAAAACTGTCTATTTAGAAACAATTGTGTTTATTTCTTTCCCTTTCCACATTCTCTGTTAAAGTCTACCACAACATCATTTTTATGTGCTCTGGAGGAGGAGAGCAGCACTTGCTATTTAGATCCCAGCCAAATAGATATGAAACCAGTTCTTTCCATATGAAGAGGAGGACGTGATAATAAGTCTGCAAGACACGTGAAGGAGGGAGAGAATATATTTAGGGTACTGGAACAGGCATAAATCCAAGTAACAGTCTGACACTGAAAAGCTGATGCACTGCATCAAGACTTTTGGACACTGTAACACATAGCCAGTGGAATAGTCTCACAATGAGAGAAGTGGAAGCTCCGTTATGTAGGTCATTTAAAACAAAAGTGGAGATAGCTATAGTAAAATGTGAAATAACAAACACTGTCTCCTCATCCAGGATGGACTAGGTTAAATAAGAGATTTCTATGCCTAACTTCCAATTCCTGAAGCATCCAATCCCCAACCCAGTTTGCAAATGTCAATAGGAAATTCAGTAAAACGTAGTAGTCAATATTCTAGTGACTTAAAGTGTGACAGAAATATCTGTTACATGGGGCTCAAATAATGCACGATGGTATGGTGTTATTTCTGCCCCAGTTTCAGCAGGCCGTTATGTGAATGGAGGCACTAAACAGAAAGTTTAGTGGTCAAGACAAATTCACACACGTTATCACCTAGTCCTCTCTCTGGAGACTGAGACAACAAACATTGTTGAAAAGCTTGTTTTCCCAGGCAATGCTAGGGTTTCAATATAATTTGGACTACAGATGCTACTATCATGACCCTAAGTGTGGGTAAAAGGATTTAAATAGATTGAATTCAAGATGCTCAACAGATGTGGAATAGACACTTCATTGATTCCACTGCAGTCTGAAAGGCACATTAATAAACTGCCCCAGTTCAACATTTTAAAGTGAACAATTTATTTTTTAAGAAACAACTTTTTATAATTTTTCAGAACGTTTAACATCTCAACTGAAAACTCATTTAGCAAGAGAATAGCTTTCTTAAACCAGCTAGCTGTACTTGGATTCAACTCTTATTTTCAAGAAATGGGGGGCTTTAGCACTTTATGGAATCAGATCCCATTGAGGAATATATTTGGACATCCCAAATCACTAGCCACTTTGAAAAATCTTGGCCCTGGCCTCCGGATTCTTTTTGGATCTTAAGTGCAAAACCATTCTTAATGACATGCATAACAAAAGAGCAATAAAAACTCTCCTCCTCAGTTGCTTGCCGAAGCATCCTAACCTGGTACTCTAGGAAGCATCTCAATCAAGTGTTCCAGGAGTGAGCTTGTGGAAAGCCACAAAGAAATCTACTTACAGGTCAACCTCTGTTGGTCTCCCTGTTCTTCTTCCACACTTGATTTCTCAAAAGTGGACAGATCAGTTTGTAGCACTTCATCAGTTGCTGCATGAATCAGTGCTGCTGTAAGAA